CTAAAACAATGCCATGATTCCAACCAACCAATGTTTTGGCTTTTTTGCTTTCAATAGTCCAAATGGACATGAACCCAGCCTGGCAGAACAAGGTAATAGGGGTACCCGGTCCCGATTAGTGTATCTTAGGACCGAATCGGGCGGGTTCTGATCCCGATTCTGATCCCAATAATCATTTTTTTATGTTTTTCACTTTGAGAAGGGGATTTTAATGGAGTTTAGAATTCCGTCAGAATTCAGGTGTCCCCGATTTGGATTTCGGTGGAGTCTGTTAAAATCCGGGTGTCCTCAAAGTGTCTGTGGATTCTTTAAGTCTGGATTGCTAAGGATTCCGGTGGATTTCGAAAGCCAAAATACAAGGGAAAGAATACACGGAAACTCTCTCTGCTCGCCTTCGGATTTCCACGGATTTCCAAAACAAAGCCAGAAGGAACTCACCGGAGAAGCGAAGCAAAGCGAGAAGCACTGTGCGGGAGAACCTTGTTTTCTTCTTCCGTACCTCTGTAACAGCATTGGTATCCTCTCCCCCCCTCTACCCTTTATTGATCTTTCTGCACTTGAAGGCCTAGGTGGAATTCCAGTTTTGCTGTTTGATTTTCGGTCCTTTTTAACAACATATTCAGGTTCATCAATGTTCTTTTCATCTGTTTTTGCAATCGCACCTCTCAGATCATTCATCTGCCATGCAATTTCAAACCCCCCCAATCCTATCGTCATATGTCTTCTTCCGTACCCCTGCAATTCTATTTCATTTCCATGGAATCCAATAGATTCCAGACAAAGGATTTTCAATTCCATGAAATCCAACAGATTCTATTCAATTCCATCAAAATCCATTAAAATCTCAATCCTTTAAAATCTTGTGAAATCCCAATCGAGGACACCCCCTTAAAGTCATTGGAACGACTATAAATGGCTATAAAGCCGTTGGGCCATTGGGGGTTGGGGTTTGATGGGTTTGGGGGTGGGTGCCTTAATTAAAAAACTACAATGAGTAGCCTCATTTTCATAATTTTTCCACACTATAATAATTATAATTCTATTAGAATTTGAGAGTAGAATTTTTATGACCAACAGTCATAGTGACTTGCTGCCAATTTTTTACTCGGACGGCTTTAGTGACCACCAATGCCTATGAAACCAATGACCACAGCCCCGGCGAACCGCCAACAACAATTACTTCTCGCCACTTCCCCCACCCATGTCCACCGCTCGTGCCCCTGTCACTCCTCCACCATTAACCAAATCCATGTTTGCTATCCCAAGCCGTAACACAGCTGCCCCAAGGAGCCAGCAAAATTCAGATATGTGGAGGATTATACTATGTGTGAGATTTCCTCAACCCTAAAGTCGATGGCGGATCTGCCCAGCCACAAAGTCATCTGGCGGCAATTTGCGAACAAAAAAGGAGAAGACAAGATGGTTGCAACGGAAAGAAGAATATTTGGAGACAGTTGGATAAGATGGATTTGAGGATTAGGGATAGTTTTGTATTTTCAAACCTTTGCAGCACTGTGATAACTAGATTTTCATCCGTGCGAAGCAAAAATTAAGTAAAATAATATTGTTTTGTTTATTTATTATATTATATGGAATATTAACTTTAACATCAAATTTTCATTATATACCATCTGTGATGGTATGAAAATAGAATATGAGGTATTATATAACAAAAGTTATTATTACTAAGAGTTTTTACTACCTATAATGTTTTGGAAGAAGATAATATTACTAACAGTTATTACCGCCTACAATGTATTGGAAGAAGATAAAAATAAACGTTACAGATACCGCCTTGGAAAATTCTTATTTCCGTTCAAACATTTTGGAATAAAAAATGTCATGTTTATAGTATAAATAGTTAAATACAACCGTGATTCAAATCACAATTGCTAAGTGTTTCCATTAATACTCCGTAATAAGTAGAGATGTGGAGTATTTATATGAAACCCCGTATTATTACACGTGGAATTTCACTGATAAAATTTAATAAGCTAATAAAAGGAAATGTGAATGGACATTTCATTGTAGACTATTAAATGTAAAGTTCAGAGCCTAAGACGATATGTTTTTTATGAAAACTCAACCTCCTTTATTAAAAGTAACTTTTTATATAAAGTTTGGGGTATTTAAATTACATATGCAAGTTTGGGGTGTTTACTTCACACCCTTTCAAAGTTTGAGATATTTTTATTATTTTTCCCTATTTTTATAACATTCAAAAGTATGGTATTTTAAAATATTTTAGACAGATGTATGCATGTATATGTAAGTACATGTATCATATACGCAGTATTCTGATTAGGCTCATTGGAATTCAAAATTTTCCTTAATAAAAATAAAATACATGGAGTAAATTTAATAATAGTTTTGTATACAATCACATTTAATTTATGAAATCTGCAAAATATATGTAAATAATGTCATCTTCACACCTGTTTTTCTAACAAAAATATTCTAAAACATTTCCAAATGATAGGCAATACATTACACATGCGGAGTAATAAGGTATCACCCTTACCAGCCAATTTTGAGCCAATAGATGGGAATGAACCCTTCAACTAAGTTAGAACTTAGAACATGGTCACAGTAGATGAAATTCCATATTTTGATTCAGATATATAGATATTATTATTGCTTTCAAGAAATAGGAAAAGAAATGATTTACTTTCAATAATAAATTCTTAGCGAGGTCAAATACTCTCTACAACAACAATTTTATGACAAATACCTCCCGGGTTCCCTCTCCGTTTGTGAGGCCCTTCCTTCTTGAAAATGGGAGAAGTCCAAATAATTTTAACATGATCAACCACACCCAACTGTCTAAGCCTTCCTCACCAGTCAAAATAGAACTCCTGCATCTTAAATCTGGAAACAATGCTAAAAGCATGCCTTGTATTCCAGGAGAAGCTTGCAACCAAGGTCGCTAGATGGAGCCTCTCGACAAGCTGGTGAAGTCATCCTCGAAAGTGTTGATGCAACCATCCCTCATTTCGCTGAGTGTCTCCATCGGAATTTAGGTTTATCTCTGACCAGACGTTTCCCGGTGTAGTAGAAATCAGTCCGACCTCGCAGGCTCTTGGATTTGGTCACAATCCACTGTCCACATGCACCAACCCTAAGGTTTCTCCTTTCAGTCGTCCGGGGTTCACCATCACTGGTATCGAATTGGAGGCTAGGCCCCATCATCGAAAGTAGTGAGGCTACTTCAGCGTAGGGTGGAATTTCCCTCTTGGTTAGGCAGCGATAATGGAGCCGAAGCGAATTGATGTGTTTGCTGCTGCCTCACCTTGATTCGCCAGAGCTCTCTCAACGGCCATACTGAAAAATTTTGGATGTGAATTATAAGGTTCAATTCATTATACTCCGTAATAGGCACGGGAAACAAAGTGTGAGCCGGCTTTTTTTTTAGTTTCAAGAGAAAGAAGATTCGCATGTTGACTCAGACAGAGTTTAGCCTTTCACGTTATCCCAATGTCCAATAAAGTTGTTCTGTCCCATCTGGTTTTGCAGACCATTAAATGTGCATCTAGCGTGTAATGTTTAGCTTCTCTTAAACCCGACCCGGCCCACATTATTGATGGTAGTTTAGGCAGGGAAAATGGCTTGCATTCCACTTGCTTTTGTATAGAGTAAGATGATGAGGATTAAAGTAAGGTCTCATTTTTGTCCACTTAATAGCTTGTTATCTTATTTTAGCCATTCTTTCTTTTTATACTACGTAATATACAAGTCATTACGTAGAAATCGGATAAATCGGCTAATTCTGATGAAATTTATAAAGTTCTAACTCAAGTGATTAGATTGACGGATTATATGATTTAATGAAAATTATATTTAACATATGTTATGTTAATAAAAAAATTATATGAAAAATAGTTAAAATTGTCTTCTACAATAATATCAATCAATATGACCACTAAAGTAACTTCAACCTTACCTTTTCTTATTATTACACAATTCAGCGCGCGAAATCAAAATTAAATATTTAGTGAAAAAAATTACTGATAAGCCAGATAACCGAAAAACATAGTCACTAGACGGCCTCTTAATGTTTCAAATAAATTTACATTTCATTTTTAATGTGAATAGTTTTTTGTTTGTATTAATATAATATTTTTAAATAATTAAAAGAGATGCTGAGACCGGTCAATTACCCAGAACTAGACCGGGAATCATAAAGTCCGTAACACCCAAGTCAGGCCCGAGCTTCAATGTTTTTTGACCGGGATCCCTCGGTCTGGGACCAGAACCATGATCAAGTCCATGCCCAAGTCCAACTGTCCAAGTCAACAATTGATTTACCAAGCGTATATTTTAAACTTATTTGACTAGGTAAATAGAAAAAATCCATCAAGTGGGACGAAGGAAGTACTACATAACAACTATTTACCAAACATAATTTAATACATTTTACTACATTCATATCTCCTTAAACAAAACATGTGACATTCATCCCTATTCCGGTAGAGACATGGAGTGAAAGGGATGCAACTAGGGTTGGACTCGGGCCGGGTCGGGCCCGGGCCGGGCCTAGGCCCGGTCGGGCCAGCGGTTCTATATAGCTGGACCCGGGACCGGCCCGGGTAGCCACCGGGTCCGGTCCGGGTCCGGGCCGGGCCTCGGGTTTGGTTAATTTTTTTTTTTTTTTTTTGCTTAGCTACCCATCCCTGAACCCCCCCCACCCTCACCCCCAAACCCCTCCTAAACATCAAGCCCAACCCGGTGGAGCCCAAACAAATGAAAAAAACCAAAAAAATAAATAAATTTGGCCCGAACCGGGCCCGGCCAGGCCGGGCCTTGTTATGGGTGACCCGAGCCCGGACCGGAAACCCACCGGGTCGGGCCTACCCGGACCGGTCACTGACCGGGCCACCGGTTCGGGCCGGGCCGGAACAGTACCGGTCCCGGGCCGGTTCCGGGTCGGGCCACCCGGCCCGAGTCCATCCCTGGATGCAACCACTAACCTTAGGTTTATAATGCCAAAAAGGTTCTCAGAGTTGATTAAATTCATTACTTAGATTCACCTGAATTCTCAACCAGAGCATTAACTCTGCCTAAGAATATAATGTCCAATCGAAGAAGTACAAAACAAGAAAATCTGTTGATGTGCATAGACTAATCAAAGGTGTGATCTACTTGACTATGTACGTAATATATATGTTGTCTCTCTTTGCGTTTTCCATTTAGATTTTAGGTTTGGAGCATTGCAATCACAAGCAATGAAACATTCCCTTGGAGGTTTAAAAAGCACCCCAAGAGCAGAGAGACACTGATATCTCTCTTCATATCTGCAAATAAGCAGAACCATTTATTCTGTACTATAGAACGAATTGTCACTGTTCTCATCACCCATACTACATATTCTATCCTTCTCCACCTCCCACTTAACCACTTCACCAACATACCTGAATGCTTCATCCGCTGATGAACGTTCCCGAGCTATACTTGGCCACACAAATAGCTTTCTTCCGGTGATGGAAGAATACAATTCCTTGAATTTATGAGCTACATAATGATATGCGTAATTTGCTAGGGACTGATTGTAGTGGCGGGTTTTCAAAGGTCTGAACTCTTTAAACCACTCGCAGACCGTTAGAGGGACTTTTCTAATTTTATCCTCAAAGACATCATACTTGTTTAGGATAAACACGAAAGTGACGTTCTTAAAGCATCTGTGTCGAATCAAACTCTCAAACAAATCTCTGTTTACCAACATTTTGTTTTGTGGTGGGCCATGACCAAGGGACCAGATGTCATCATAGTCACTTAATGCTACAGAGAAGACTACCGCTGTCACGTCTTCAAACATATCCATCCATTTGCCAGAATCATGCGGTCCCTTGGAGCTAACACGAATCAGCTGGTACCTATGTAAGATGGGACGCACACTTCAGAACTTTAAACTGCTAGGGTGATGATAATTCTAACAATAAGAAAACTGTTTTTTTACATCCAATTTGTACAACACACAAGGAAAGACAATACTATGTGTTATTTTATGTTTGAGAATAAAAAACTATTGCCTTCTGAATGGTGAAGAGGATTTTATAATTGTTTTTTGTTCTCACGTGCATTAAATACACATATGTGATATGTGTGACGAAAAAATCTTATGTTTGTAAACAGAAATCTTACAACTAGTAGAGCAGCAAACAAAGATCCATACCTGTTTAGCGGCGGTTGGCATGCAGTGTCCTCATCATATACATTTGATTTAGCACTATGATCATCGAAAGAGAACTCGATGAAGGCAAGTCCATTGTTAGGGGTCACCCCTTCGGCATATAGAATATCCTCTTCTGAAGGCTCATAATCATTACTCGAAATCTTAATGACCTGTTGGTGGAAATCAAATCGCCTTAATTACTTGGAATACAGATACCACAGCAAAATACCAGAACAGACAGTGAGTGACACTAATATGAATCTAAACATTTAACAGCAGTTTCCATGCAGTATAACCTAAGAGAGCCATATGAGTACAACAAGAACAACATTACCCCAGTGCCGCAAAGGCTCCCACCTGCGGTGGGGTAAAGGGGGTCAGAAGCACAGACAGTTCAGTGAGTCATTTTGCTTTGCTCCATCATATTCCTAAGTCATAAAATAGTGAGTCTTTGGCTCCATTGAAATTGACGGATATAAGAGAGCCATGAGTAAACGAAAAAAATACACACGGGGCAGGCTTATTCAAGGAAAACATATGACACTGCAAATAAGAAAAGGATGATATGATAAGACTGAGGTAGTAGTGTATGCGTCAAGACAACTCATTTTCAACAAGATGACAACCACGTGAAACATATGAAATGACAGGTTACACAAAAGAGGGGAAAGGACATGACAGTTTACAGGGCGTTTACCATATTACCAACAAAACTCAAGCACACTGCAGCAAACTCCTCCCCATTCCCATCTGGAAATGGAGGAGTGGTGGAGCATCTAGTTAACAAATAACACATCTATACTTGATGCCCATTAGCGTGTATAGATAGATGTCCATTATACAAACCATGAAAGAATACAGTTAATCTTACCTGGTCCAAAAAATACTTTGCAGTATCAGGAAGAGGATGCAATTCGCTTCTCCTCTTATAAGTTTCCTGAATAGCTGGATCTTTCCATATCTCGTCTACCAGTGGAGAATATTCGCGCGCTGCAGCAGGGAAATAGGTACTCAAATCTCCAGAAGCTATGATATGTAGCAGCCAGTCAGAAAACTGCTTCAGCCTTTGATTGAGGGAAAAGATGCATAGCTTACTTTCATCAGTTCTTATTTCACCTGAAATGTACATGGATCGTAAACTTCTATACAAATCAGCAGCCACAAACAAATACTCCCTCCATTCTGAAATAACTGTACAAGTGTACATTGAGGTTATGTTGCTGTTTTAAAATGGTGAATAATTTTGTCATAAACTAACATATACACCCTTACAGACTTCTATGCAATGAATATGGAGGGAAATGTAATTACTTTACTATTTTTACTCTACTAATCTGCTAACAGGTCATATATTTGTGAGGGGAAAATAAATAAAATATCCTAAACTTTGCGTAGTTGTGATATCCCCACCCCAAACTTGTCCACATTGTATAAATATCCCATACTTTGTAAAATTGAGATACCTATGCCCCATGTCCTACTAAACCATCTAAGAAAGCACACATTATTTTGGGAATCACTCATCTTTTTTTGCCAACTAAAAATATTTAACAGGTTTTAATTTTTGAGAAATATTATTTGTTAATTAAAATTTGGTACCAAAAATTTAAATAAATAAAGTTGGGGGTATTTTTTAAACTAGGACAAGTACGGGGTGGGGAGCTCACACCAAGGCAAAGTTCGGGGTATATTATTATTTTCTCCTATTTGTGAACAATGTACCTTTTGTTAACGGACAGTTATTTACGAATGGAAAAAGTTTATATATGACAACGGGAGGGAGTGGGGGTAATGATTGAAAAAAAAAACGGGAAATACTACTACGTTTTCCATTAGATTGAAAAACCATGATATGCAAAGGCAATACGATTCTAGCCAAATGACCTAAAGAATTTGAACGCTGTTTAATTATAATAGCTCTTTTCTTATTACCAAAACAAATTAAATAACCTTCACATTAAAGCCAGAAAAAAAAATGTGACACTCATAATAGAGAAATAGGATAAAACATAGCACAAAAGAAAGATTTTCATTTTTATAACCTCGTGAAAGATTTACAATTTGCAAAGAGGATGTGCTCTTCTCCTTTAAGGCTTCCTCTTCAAAGCGCTCTCGACCCTCGAGTAAGATGCCAAGGTATCTATACATGCTGCTTTGAATCAGGAGCTTTATGTTTTGCACCTCATCCTCAGTGGGCTCATTTCCATAAATAAACTTCATCTGTGTTCCATTGAAAAGAATTGAAGTTCAATTCGTTAAGGTTTCAGAACAGGGTAGAAGTAACTGAAAAGGAAGTATGAAAACATATGCTTTAGATTAATACACACAAAAGTGAAGGAAAAAGAAAAAGTAATTTAGGCCTCTCAATGGTTTGTGTAGCAATTTTGATTGGCACTAAGCCCATTCTAATTTGCAACTGTTAATAATTTGACAAGAGATATCCAACAATGAGGTGTCATTGTGTATATTAGTTTGCGGATGATATCCACCTTTTTTGCTTATTACTTATTCTTTTTTTAATCGAATTGGTCCAGAAACATTTAGACCTGACCATACCAAAAAAGATTCAGATCAGTATCATACCTGATCTCATATTTGAGATAACAAAACTAGACATGAAAAAAATACTCAAACCACAATCTTTAAAAAAAAAAACAGATCACATAACAATTTCCTGGCGAAGAGGACATGTACGCACTGAAAAAAGTGGAAAATGGGCATCTGGGTGGATACATGTGATTTTTAATTTGGTTTATATAGCCATCTGGAATCCCCATTGATTCAAGGCTTGGTTATTGTTGGTGTTATTGTGATGTCTGAGAAAATGTCGCACTCAATTTGTTAGGATAATGGGCTTACGAGAATAATAATAATTAAGTGTGATAGTGTAATAGAGGGTCCTGGGCCTGGTAGTAGTTGGCCTTGACTGGCCCATTAGAAATAGAATAAATAAGGGTGAGTGGTGAGTAGATGGGGAGGCAGAAATTGGGATCGGGACTGGGATATTGGGAGTGAGAGACCACTCGAAGAGTCTCAAACATTTTCTTTCATACTTTCTGTATTCCCTCACTAAATCTTCATTAATATACTACTACTTTCTACTTGGATTCTTCCGTTACCTATCATTGGTATCAAAGCATCCTTCCTGGAGCCTGAATCGATCGTCAGTTTCAACGACAGTTGCAAACTTCGTCACCGTCAAAGGCGACATAGAGACAGAGCTAGGAGTCCACCTAGACACCGTCGGCCAATCGAAAATCAGGTGTTTCCGTCCGTCGCTCCTCCTAGTTCGCAATCGCGAACTGCTTCGCTTAGTTCGCAGACACCTTCGCTAGTGCAGGTCTCTTCACAGTCGCTAGCTGATTCTACCGGTCCGCAGATGTCTTCGCAAGCCTCTTCAGCTACGTCGCGAACAGCATCTTCCAGTCAACAAGTTTCTTCGCAAATAGATCTCCCTTGTTCGCAGGTCTCTTCATCTACTATCATCTCGAATCAAAGTGTGAGGCTATCAGAAGGAGACTCCAAATCGCTGCGAAATCCCTATGCGAACCCTAGTATCACTCCAGACAGAGGAGACACCATCAGTTCGCAGACTGCATCCTACCCTAGCAGTTCACTTCAAGGTACGATGCGATTGGAAGGAGAAGCCTCCACGTCACCGTTGCTGTACGTGTCACAAGAGTCAAGCAATCCGCAGAAAACTCTCTCTGAAGGTACGTTCATCTACTGTAATGAGGGACGAGAGGAAAAATCCTCTGTGATGACTCAATCCTTGGTTGCCAGGGAATATGAATCTGCTGTTGATAAAATTGTTGTTTCAAATACTTGGGAAAGCTCTACAGAGACTGTCTGTGTAGAGGAAACTGAGGAAATGGAAGAGGATGAATCAAAGTCTGAGAAAAAGGAGGACAAAATTGAAATGCAAAATCAAAATAATTCCTCTGAGGGGTTTGATAGTTTGAGCTATATTCACTGCTATAATTCTGATCTTATGAAAGTAGCTAACAATAGTGATGCTGAAAAAGTACTGCACCACTATCATATCACAGAAGACGAATTAGAGGTCTCTGGTTGTCTTGGTATGGATTATAATCAACACTTTGGTGGTGGTGTGATGTACTGGAATCATTTTGACCCTATTCAACAGTTCTTAACTATGGGGACCACAGATGGTATGCTGAAAGCAGTTGGAGGGAACAACATGGAAGGTCCTATGGTATGGGAGCTGGAGAACAAACACTTATCTTCTATATTAAAAAGGAAGTCAAACCTACCCACATTCTCTGCTATTTATGGCATTCATTACACGTTTAGGGAGATGAACGATGACGATATTCAACCCACAGGACGTCCACCAGATAATCCGGAAGGGGCAGAAAATGTTGAGGCCGATGCCAGCTCACTTTCAACTCATGCTTTGCTCGAAGGGACAGTTGTTGAAGCTGCAGAGAAAAATTTCAGGAAATACAGCATAAAGTGGTGGGAAGTTGGGCCAGAGATGCAGTTGCTAGAAGATCTTTACCTCTGCAACATTGTGGAGCAGGATGCAACAAAGTCCTTGCCTCTGTTCTTTCTTGCTATGCTCTTTCTGGCTATTGAAGGAGTGATGATGAAGGTTCAAATCAGGAAGCTATGGGTCCAGAAAGCAGTGAAGTATTGGGAAGGGAGAGACGCAAGAATGAAGGTGAACCTAAAGATCAGGCTGTTTAATATCACCCACCTTGAGAACAAGGTGGTTGTCCAACGGGGGAGATATGTTAGGATAATGGGCTTACGAGAATAATAATAATTAAGTGTGATAGTGTAATAGAGGGTCCTGGGCCTAGTAGTAGTTGGCCTTGACTGGCCCATTAGAAATAGAATAAATAAGGGTGAGTGGTGAGTAGATGGGGAGGCAGAAATTGGGATCGGGACTGGGATATTGGGAGTGAGAGACCACTCGAAGAGTCTCAAACATTTTCTTTCGTACTTTCTGTATTCCCTCACTAAATCTTCATTAATATACTACTACTTTCTACTTGGATTCTTCCGTTACCTATCACAAATCTTCTAAAGTAAGTAAGTTTCAGTGTTCTAGTATTTTTTTTACCCCGGGGGGTCGGGGGGAGTTTGGGGGGCCTGGGGTAAACTGGGATCAAACCCACTCCATTGAGTATTGAACCCGGGACCTCCCATAAGGGAGAGTGACTCATATGAAAGCTGCTGAAACTGCAGAACAACTTTTTATTTAACCTGGGGTTAAACATTTGCATACTAGGTTTACCACCACAAGGACTGAAACTGCAAGAAATTGGGATAATTGAGGATAACATACTGACATTAGGGATGTTTTTACTTGGCCAGTTGGCCTGTAATTCCTCCCAGACCAGTTCAGACCAGACTTGGATAGTTATAAAAATACAAAGAAATCAGACCAGACCACCAAATTACAGTCCAAGTAAAAACATCCTAGCTCCCATATTCCAATGAGGGACTGAAACAGCTAAACTGCTAAACACAAACTACTCTAGTATTCTCATGAGGAAGATGTAGAAACACACAAGTTCTGACATTTTATTTTACCTAATAGAAAACATGCATACTTTAAATAGGCGATTGTTAAACAAATCCATATGTTAGAAGGGTTAACAATAATAGACAATGCCAACAATTTTGGTAATTTTACCCTAAAATGACACAGTTTATTTCTACCCAATACAAAAGACAAAGTTTAAAGAGATAGATTGTACAGCAAACAATCTGATATGGGAGAAGAAGTCAAGAAACAATACATTATTAATATTATTATCATTATTACTATTATTATTAATACTATGTCTGCTTTAGGCAGCTTCTTAATTAGCATTTATCTCCTTCTATAATTAGTCATATTCTGCTTTAGGCAGTTTCTTAATTAGCATTTATCTACTTTTATAATTATTCCTATTTTGCTTTACGCAACTTCTTAGTTAGCATTTATTTCCTTTTCTAATTACGACTCTTGTAATAGCTATATAAGGGACATTTGTATTATACAATAGAGAGCTTGGGAAGAATTATTTCTTTTGTGTCTTGACAAGGTCGGGCACAAATTAATTCTAGCTTAGACTTATTTTATTATTCTTCTCTCATATTCTCTATTTCCTAGATCTAAAACAAGATCCCAACCACGCCCGTAACAATTTGGTATCAGAGCCATCACGTTCCTGTCCGATTCATCTTATTCCGCACCTTTTCAGTTTTATCACATTCCTGCTCAGTTCAAAACTTCAAATTTTTCCCTGCCCTTTCTGTTTTTTTTTCCTGTTCAGAATTCTCCAAAAAAAAAATTACTGGACAACCACATCTAGTTCTTCAACAGAGAAGCCAAAAAAACAGATGCAGGTCAACGACGCGTCACTAGTGACAACACTCCAACAAGGTGCAAATAGGTATATGCATGGCCAAGAACGTTTGACTAAAAATCTTCGTGAATTGAATGTCTCGATCTCTGAAACAACCAAGGCTCTCGCAACTGCTATGGAGGGTCTGACTGTTGCTACAAGGAAACTTGCTTCTATCATTATTCCTCCTTCTACGTTGACCTTTGAAACCGTTATGGAAGATCTTGATTTTGTTAAAAAGAGACTTGCTTCAGTCCAAACAGCCCCTCTGTGTCGTACGTTTAGTCCCGTATGGAAACAATTATCCCGTGCTGACGTGGCTACAAGACACGCTAGGAAATAGAGAATATGAGAGAAGAATAATAAAATAAGCCTAAGCTAGAATTAATTTGTGCCCGACCTTGCAAGACACAAAAGAAATAATTCTTCCCAAGCTCTCTATTGTATAATACAGATGTCCCTTATATAGCTATTACAAGAGTCCTAATTAGAAAAGGAAATAAATGCTAACTAAGAAGTTGCCTAAAGCAAAATAGGAATAATTATAAAAGTAGATAAATGCTAATTAAGAAACTGCCTAAAGCAGAATATGACTAATTATAGAAGGAGATAAATGCTAATTAAGAAGCTACCTAAAGCAGACATAGTATTAATAATAATAGTAATATTAATAATGTATTGTTTCTTGACTTCTTCTCCCATATCATTACTCCCCTCTTGGACATCAAGCTTGTCCTCAAGCTTGAAGGGAAGTAACCGGCGATAGTGTCCACCTTTTCCATGATCAAACGGCATAATTGGGAAATAAACGAATAAACAACCATGTGTGATAATGTGAAGGAGGATGAGTTTGACATGCGATCCTAGGACATCATGACACTTTTTCCTCTTCGATTCTCCAAGGCCTTCATTCTTTAAATACTTGCACGGAATTAAGTGTAGTGGAGAGGTGTAGATCTTTTCCGGTGGAGTTACCAGAAACTTTTGGGCTACCAGATTTGGCAAAGGATTTACTATCAACTTATCTGGTAGATGTGGAGGCAATGAGGGCTGTTGAGATACAATTTTATGTGTGGACGCTACTGGTTCAAGCCTCAACTTTTGCAGTGGAAACGATTCGATTTCTGGCAACGATGGAGATGGTAGAGATGTGGGCTGCAAAATCTTATCCGATGGCGGAGGCGTCTGAGTTATTGGTTGCAGTAAAGGAGATGGTGTATAGTGTGGATCTTCGAAATCTAAAATTTCTATGTAAAACAGACGTTTGCAGCGATGTTGGCCTCGGATCCATTGGTCGTCACAATTATAACATAAACCTTTAGCGTGTCTTGCAGCCACGTCAGCACGGGATAATTGTTTCCATACGGGACTAAACGTACGACATAGAGGGGCTGTTTGGACTGAAGCAAGTCTCTTTTTAACAAAATCAAGATCTTCCATAACGGTTTCAAAGGTCAACGTAGAAGGAGGAATAATGATAGAAGCAAGTTTCCTTGTAGCAACAGTCAGACCCTCCATAGCAGTTGCGAGAGCATTGGTTGTTTCAGAGATCGAGACATTCAATTCACGAAGATTTTTAGTCAAACGTTCTTGGCCATGCATATACCTATTTGCACCTTGTTGGAGTGTTGTCACTAGTGAGGCGTCGTTGACCTGCATCTGTTTTTTTGGTTTCTCTGTTGAAGAACTAGATGTGTTGGTCCAATAATTTTTTTTTGGGAGAATTCTGAACAGGAAAAAAAACAGAAAGGGCAGGGAAAAATTTGAAGTTTTGAACAGAGCAGGAATGTGATAAAACTGAAAAGGTGCGGAATAAGATGAATCGGACAGGAACGTGATGGCTCTGATACCAAATTGTTACGGGCGTGGTTGGGATCTCGTTTTAGATCTAGGAAATAGAGAATATGAGAGAAGAATAATAAAATAAGCCTAAGCTAGAATTAATTTGTGCCCGACCTTGTCAAGACACAAAAGAAATAATTCTTCCCAAGCTCTCTATTGTATAATACAGATGTCCCTTATATAGCTATTACAAGAGTCCTAATTAGAAAAGGAAATAAATGCTAACTAAGAAGTTGCCTAAAGCAAAATTGGAATAATTATAAAAGTAGATAAATGCTAATTAAGAAACTGCCTAAAGCAGAATATGACTAATTATAGAAGGAGATAAATGCTAATTAAGAAGCTGCCTAAAGCAGACATAGTATTAATAATAATAGTAATAATGATAATAATATTAATAATGTATTGTTTCTTGACTTCTTCTCCCATATCACAATCTACCACTCAATATTCAATATTCATTTGCATGACTGTTTTCTAAACTCTAAAGACATCACAATATTCTGCACTGACTAGCAGAGATGACATGTTACAGTGTGGATATCCTTATAGTGCTATTTTATTTAACAAAATAAGCAGTTGTTGCCTTGTTGGGTCTAATGATGGAGAGGAGCACAACAGCACGCTACACAAGTTACACAAAATGTATAAACAGTTTGTGCCAAAATTACAAAAAAAGGGAAGAAGTAAGCATTGGCTATAATAATCCATCCCTGCAAGATGAGGGGTTAAACTCAGCATTAGTCCAACTAAATATTGTTACTGCTGTCGCAATGTAACAAATAAAAGAGTAACAGTGGGTGTTTAATTAATTCAAATTGAGAGGAAGGGAAGTACTTTCCTGCACTTCAGTGACAGATGGTGTCAAGTAACAAATAACAACTACAACAGTAACAAAAATATTTTTACACCCAAAATCTAGGATGAAGTTAAAAAAATATCAGAAATTTAAATATGAAAGAAATTAAACATTGCAGTCACAAAAGTGAAATTAAAAATGCTATGTTACATGAGCTTTAGCTGACAAACTCTTAGAGAATAGGGTATCCACATTTTGGAAAGTTTTAGGAAACTCTAAAGAATGCTTCAACTGTTTTCATTTAAAATGGTGTTTCCTGTGTTTCCCGCCTCCCGTGTAACACAGAAACAAAGAAAGTGAACAACTGAATGAAAAGCAAACTCAACGGTGTATCCAAACTCTGAAAACTGAAAAATATAAATATGGCATACTTGCTTAAAGAGAGTGCTTGTCCCAGACCCCTCCAGCCCAAAAAGCAAAAGTTTTTGACACCTGATATGTTCCATAGACACAGGCACAGACCTCCTAGATAAAGTAGTTGTGTCCTCTTTTGGCCCTCGAGTATTTGAAAGGGGAATGGGTATTGACCACAACGAACATACGAAACGAGTTAATGCCTGCCTAACAAGAAACCCAACTGCAACGAATCACATATCTATATAACCATCATATAAATTAAAAGCTGAGACTCAATAACATAGCTACTTTAGAAAGGATTACAGTACAACCTTCTCCCATATGTTTCCTTTAATGTTGTTTTGACCTTCTTCCTCATACGAACCATCATCATATACCCAAAAATGAGTATCTCTGGGGCAATCTACTTTGGCTACCTGGAAGAAAAAGAAAGAGATAATAAAGAGGGAGAGAGAGAGAGAAGGTGGTGAGCTCAAGCTAGAATTGAATTGCAACATGCAAAACTAATATTTAAAAAAAAACTTCTCGGGTTTTGTTAAACATTGAAATGCAAACTCTGCAAGGGACAGGAATCAGTGGTGATGCTGTGTTATTTAGCCAAACATCGGAAAAAAACTTATCCTCATGACCTCATCTTATTTAGCCAAACTTTTATCCTTTGTTCTGGAATCTTTTTAGCGAAACTGAATTACATGGAAATTCTTGATTCAAATTATTCAATAGAAATCACAATTGCATAAATCTGTAATGAACTTCCTTCCTGGTAGTTGTGTAGCTGTTGAATGTAAATGGGCACAATCAAAGAGTATAATGATGAAAACAGGCGTCATGAAATCCATTAAAATACCTTCAGTACTTTAAGTTCAACTTTTGTAATTTCACGGCCATTCATGTAAACATTTGTGTTTCCATTACTTGCATCTAGCTGAAGCTTCCCTCCTACATTCAGTTTAGAGCTTATAAACCTATCTGGCTTCTTGCCTTCCTGTCCATTTAAAAGAATTACAATGATCTCAAAAGTTTTCAAAGCTATAACAAACACACTAGAAGCTCTGCCCCTGTAGCAAAAGTAGTGCTGAGAATACAAAAGTAATGAAAACAAAACTCAGTTATGATCACCTTGCCCCAAAGTCCAGAATCCTTGTCATACCAATACTTCCCAGCTTTCAATTTCTCCGGAGGCATTACACATCCAAGCAATTGAGCCAATTCCTCCTGCCTCAACTGCCTTCCGTTTACCCAGACCTGCTCAGGCCGAATTTGATTAGCAGAACATTCTCTCTCCGCAATCATTATCTGTTTGACTTCCAATGGACTACACACTTTTGTTAATGAACGGGTCACCATTCCCAACCTCTCTCTATTAGCCTCGTTAATTGGCAGGCCAATGCAGCCAAGGCATTTCCTCCCCTCGGGCATCGACCCCATAGCCTTGAGTACACAGTTCTTACAGTATCCTGCATCGCACACAATGCACACCTCTCTCTCCCTAATCTTCTTCCCACACCTACTACAAACGGTAGCCTTAACCCTAAACCACAGGTCACCCTTTAGCCCTCCAATTTTCTCCACTCGACAGCCTTTGTCATCCGCTTCAGATGGTAGCGGAGAAATTCCCTTACTCCCATCACCATCATCATCGGTGCGATCATCGTCCGTTCCAGCCTCAAAACTCACAGGATTCACACTATCGGTTTCAAAGTCGGACACGGAAATGTCTTGTTGAGTCTCAGAGCGCGAGCTGAAGCTGAATTGAATCTTGGAAGCAGGAGACGAGCTTCCGCTGCTGCTTTTCTTCTTGCGCAAGGGAAAGCTGGAGAGAACCGATTGAATATCCCGGAATTTGGGAGGTTTGGCGGATTGGAGAGATGGTGGAGGTTTGAGGGTGGGAACGTCCTTGAAGCAGAAATCCGAAGGGGCATGGTACTCGACAGAGATGGAGTAGTCAAGATGATCCTCGTCCGGCAAAGGTGCGCCGGAAGGCAGCATCCTCCGCAGAAGATCTTCCCAAGCCGTTGACTGGGAGTCCGCGCCTGTCATCTGATCGGGAAGCTAGCAGCAACCAGAGTAAGGTGAAATGGAGATGCGATGATGATCATAAAAAGGAGCGTTGAGAATGGAGTTCTAGAAATTAAAGTTGTTCGAAAGTATGATCACAGCAGAGTGCGTACTGCGCGACTTTGAAAGCTAAAGAAGAAGTCAGTGTCTCTGTGTCTGGCCAGTCCGGGAGATATAATTGATTAATTATTAGGCTATTTAATTAAATAAATAAAATTCAAAACGAAAACGACGGACGATTAGGCTGTTTTATCGGTCTCTATCTTCTAGCTTTTGTACCGTTCAAAAATTATATATCTTCTAACTTTTGTACAGTTCAAAAATTCTCTAAAAGCTTCTAGTTATATGTTTGGCGTGACAATTTTTAAGAGCTTTTCAATGATTAAAAATCTTTTTTGAGATCCTACAGGGAGTAACATCTGAAAAAAGCTCATGACTTTTAGTATTAATTAGTCCTAACAGCTTGGATACCAAAGTAACCAAACAGAACTAAATCAAACAATTAGCTTTTTACCAAACAGCTACCACGTTTTCTCTTTAAAATCTTTTCAATCACTAAAAGCTAACAGTTATTAAAAAGCTCACAAAAGTATCTTTTCAGCTAGTTGTGCCAAACATCCTCGTACTTCACAGGTTACTAAACGGTGCTTATTAAGATTCGCGTTAATAAACGGTGCATAAAATAAGCAGTGTTGTAAGCTCATATTTACTTCAAATGATTTAAAACACGTTTAATATTTAAATGTCTAAAATAACTACACATATATAGACACACAAACATTCATGTACACAAGTATATAATATAATCGTGATATTTATAAAAATAACGTTATAGATATATAGACACACAAACATAAACATCGCTTCAATTCTATTTTTTATATTTATTTCATTTTTGTATTCTGAAAATGTGGTTTACATTATGGAATGGTTTATATATATTCTTAAAATGTGGGGCCTATATATAGTACATTTCTTCCCGGTGAAGTTTAGCTTCCCAACAATTCACCCTAGTTGCTTCACTGAAGTGATTTTCTAGAAAAAAAATCTAATTTGCTGCGGGCTTAAAAGAAATGTTGTTGTGATAGATGAGTTACTTACGTATTATGGGTTGATTTAAGTGAAATATGTTCCAAGAATGCTTTGTCCAGAACTCATTGCAAAAAAATGGCTAAGGATATGCATAAATGGTTATTGAGTGGACATCATAGTTTTAAACTACTCTTTGCTAAGGTGTGTTAGGCATTTAAGTTTTGATTAAAGCTCGGATCTCGAGAATTGCTTGAAACTGTTATGTCCTAACAGTTTAATCTCTCTTTCTCTCTGGTATCGTATTTTTGTTCTTTACTTATCCTCATAAAAAAACAAAAGAAACCAACCATTCCAGCTCACTGGGTGAAAGGTTATCGTGTCCTAGCGGAGGTCTCGGGTTCAAATCCCGCTAGGCACATTTAGGGGAGAGGAGGGAGGTCTTGCTCCCAATGATTCTTCCTACCTTCACGGAGTTGCTTGATAAGTCCATATTTAGACACGCATTTAATGCGTGTTGGGGTCGGATTTTGATGGTTTTCCTAGATTTAAGGTGCTACAAGTCTCAATTCTAGCTCAAGTTTTTTTTACCGGACGGTTGTGCGAGTTTTGTGTTGTTTGGAGTCAAAATCAGGGAATTTGAGCCCAGCACCGGTGCTTGAGGAGCAAACGGGGTGATTCGAGAAGCATTCAAAGTGAATTGAGAGCATTGGAGGTCACGATGAAGATTTGAAGGAAAAAAAATTCTAGGATTGGCTACGGGATCAAAAGAAGACAAAGAGAGCTTGAAAACGGTGTTCAGGATGACCTTCTATCAATCGTTCAAGCATATATCTTTGTAGAAGCTGTCAAAGGACACGATTCAAGTTGAATCTGAAAGCCAACTTCAAGGGCTACAAATCATATGAAGACATCATTCCGAGAATCTGAAAGAAAGAAGGTGAAAACAGACGATGAAGTCAAATGCTCCCTATTGCGATTTCAGAATGAGACATTCCACCATTTTATTCATCTCTTGATTGCATGATTCAAATCCAATACGGAAAATTGGGGTGGATAGAGGACTTCATTGACTACAACTTTCATGAAGGAAGTTTTGTCAAACTCGGATTAGATAAGCAGGAAAACGCACTGGTAGACACGCACGCGTGCGTGGCAAGGGACGCACGCGTGCGTCCAACGATTTTACGTGTTTCTCTGTCGGACGCACAGACGCAACGCACGCGTGCGTAGGCGCCGTGCGTACCTAATTTGTTTCCTAATTTAGCCCAAATCACTATGTTTCCTATAAATATCACCCCCTTAACCCTAATGAAGGGGGATGGAACTTTAGAGAGAGATTAAGGACGAGATTAGAGAGCTTTTTCAGCCAGGTTTTTCAATTCCTTAACATTCTTTGTAAATTCCTACTTTTTGATTAATGATAATTAATTATATTTATCCCAATTCTATTGATTCTTCAATTATGAATAGGGAGTAGTTTTAATTAGGGATTTGGGGTTGATGAATGGGTTAATCATGATGTATGTTTAGGTTCTTGATGGTGTAAATTGCATGAATGCCGTTTCATTTGTGTTTGAATAATTTAATTGATATCTTTTGTAACCTAGAATGGCCACTAGAATTACAATTGCATATAGAATAAATTAAGAGAGATCTAATTTGTTCTAGGACACATTCACACACACTTAATCGTTCGCTAAGAGATTAGTAGCGATTAAGGAAGGGGCCGTAAGCTCGTTCATCTTGGCAATAATTTAGGATCATGTCGCATGAGAGATCAGCCTGGTCCCCTAAATTATTGTACTCTACGCCGCGAGAGCGGTAAGAACTTAGTATTGATTAGCTAGGCTCAATTAAATTAAATTCATGTAATTAAGCCTGATCTACCAGAAATCTGATTACCCCGGAATCAATCCATGTTCCCTTCGTCGTTAATTAAGAAGAACCCAAATTTTTACTTCTAGTCATTTATTTGCAATTTTAGTTTTCTCAAGCAACCAAATCTCGCACGACCGCATTTGTTTTATTTATTTTTATCGCTGATTTAGTTAATTCTTAATTCCCTTTTACCGTCCCTGTGGAGACGATACTCATACTTTCACCGCTATATTACAATCTTTTTAAGTGCGAGAAAAATCACATCATTGCTCAGCGGCTGAGAAGGGAGAGGATGGTAATGAAGGTAGCGGGTTCGTGTGGTGGGAGGAGCAGCCTGAAAGGTGATGTAAGTCCTGCTCGATTCGTCCTTTGGAGCCAGTACTGACGAGGCTGACTGTGATCAGATCCGGACTTAACTGTCTAGGGGCTTTGGAGGGTAGTTCATAGACTCCAGGATTATGGGAGCGTAAGCCCCGACACCTGGATTATAAAAAAAAAAACTTCACTTTACATATAATTATATAGTTGGTGCCTTCAAGTGACAATAACAGCTGGCAACAATTGAAAGTTGTGCGAGACTTTGGGAGTTCAGATATGTACTGAGATGAGTGCACTTTGTTACCATGCTATAATACACTTGGGGAGTCTAATGTAATACTCCATCTGTCCCAAAAATAACTTCCCACTTTCCTTAAATGAATGTCCTAAAATTAACTTCACACTTTTTCCCACTTCCTTATTTGGCAAATTATCTACATCAAAACAGTGTCAAACAGTGCCAAAAGTATTACATTTAATCTAGTGCTAATGTAATGCGTGTGTAATGTTCAACAAGTCGTTGCATTTGGTAGGTCTTAATGCAACACGTGTATACAAAATATATTGAAATAGGGTGAAAAAAGCGGTAAAAATGACCGCCATATTATTTTCGGGTACATAGATGAATGCTTTCAATTGTTGACGGCAGAACAGAATTTTTGTGACCTTTGGTCCAAAAAATACACTTGCTTCATTGAGTGGGTCTTGAAAGCACTAATGTTTTCCCACCAAGTGTATTTTTTTCTTATATCATCCTATTATTTTTTTGGGGGCTCTACTTGTTTTATTTTTCAATGAACTATAAAAGTGACACTCTTCTAGTTCAAAGGCAAATTATAAGAGCTTCTTGCAACTGTTTGAATGCTTTTATTATATTTCGTGAGTGAAAATAACTTAATTTAGATTAAAACTTTCATGTTTGAATGATTTTCCTTTTCTGTGATCGGATTGCAACTAAACAGGCACTTGTTAATACCAATACACTCCATTTCAGGTCAAATTTGGTTCTCTTGGCTCCATCTTATTGCTAGACTCGACTATGGTTGATGGTAAGCTCCTCCCCAAGATTGAAGACTTGGAAGGGTATCATTAAAGCATTGTCCCATGGAGGCGAACTAGTGCAAAAGTTTTGATGGAGTATATGGTCCGGGAACCCCCGGCCCACAGACTCCTACTACTCCAATAAAGGCTCAATAGGCCCAGGAAACACAACAGGCCCAAATCACGGCGCCCAAGGTACCAAGCAGCCCACAATGCGCACCAGGGGTGCCTTCGGCCCCTGGCCGAAGGCTCTGAACCTCACAGAAGGGTCAGAACAGGAAAACAAAGTTACTGGGAAGAACGGCGAAAATCAGTAGCCCTCGGCAACTGGAGCCCTCGGTACTAAGGGGGTCCCCAGTACTCAGAGCCCTCGGCTAGTCATCTACAGCCGAGGGCGCCTTTTCTGACATAATATCCGCTCCACATGCGTATGGATCACCGTACCAAGTACGACGTCACATCCAACAACCGCATTAAACGCGACCACATGCGATTGCCAGCGCCAGCCAGTTGAGGTGACCCCTCGGCCAATGGATGCTTGACACGTGTCCTTGTCCGGCATTTATTGCTACTATAAATAGCACCCCATTTCCCCATTTGTAACCAAGACACAACACGCTGAAAACACTGAACACATTTCTAATATACTCTCTCTCTCTACTTACTTGCTCTGACTTCTCTCTAGCTATTCCCCGTAATAACCCCTCGGATAAGCTACCCCCCGGGTACACTATCCATCATTTGGTGCTTTCATTGAGAAGTCAAACAAACAAGTAAGAAACCCTCCCCCTCGACCAAACACAAAACACCCGGCTAAAATGGTAAGAACAACTCGTGCCAACTCCAAGAATGTAGAGGACGGGAACCTGGCCCTCGGCGAGGTCGACGTCCCCGAAGCCTC